AAAGAGGCCAGAAATTTTCAATATTAAATTATAAATATTTTTTATTTATATCACGGGAAAAAAAGGAAGAGGATTGTTATTATTTATAATATTCTAAATTCTAATATTGTGCAAAGAGGCCAGAAATTTTCAATATTAAATTATAAATATTTTTTATTTATATCACGGGAAAAAAGGAAGAGGATTGTTATTATTTGTGATATTTTAAATTCTAATATTGTGCAAAGAGGCCAGAAATTTTCAATATTAAATTATTAACATTTTTTCACGGAAAAAAAGGAAGAGAATAAATTATTTATTTGTGATATTTTAAATTTTAATATTCTGCAAAAATTTTCAATATTAAATTATCAACATTTATATTATAGAATATTTGTTCAAATATTTGTGTACAACAGGATTGTTATTATTATTTATGAATAAACAGCAATTTTTTACTATTAATAGAAAAATCGAGAATCGAAACGTTTCGATATTCTAATTTCTAATAATCTGGTAAACTAACTAGAAATTTTCAATATTAAACAATTTAAATACGATTTACTTAAATACGAAGAAAATAAAACGATATTTGATCAAATATTCGTGTACAACAAGATAATTATTATTATTTACGATATTATTCTAATATTCTGCAAACGAGCCAGAAATTTTCAATTTATTAAATTATCAACATTCTTTATTCGTATCATAGAAAAAGAAGAAGAAAATAAACGACGAATATTCGTGTTACCACAAGATAATAAAAACTATTAAAAAAATAAAAAATATTATTAAAATAAATTATATACGATAAAAATTATTATTATTGAGTAAGCCGCAATTTTTCATCATTGACGATAAAATCGAGGCTGCAATACGTTCCGTAAACGAAGAGCGAGAAATTTTCAAAAGATGTGGTTCAAAGATAGAAAAAGAGAAAAGAAAAAAGAAAAAAAGAGAATATCAACAAACGAATATTTCGAACATCCTTTCTTGACCCCGTTCTTCGAGAAGAAATTAAGAGAAGAATCGATATGGATTCGAGAGATTCTCGGACGAAAAGATCCGGTGGAACAAATGAAACAAGCTTAAGCAAATGAGAAACGTTCGTTCTACTCGCCGATAATTTCAACAATTTCATTGGATCGTGCAATTTTTCGCACGGCTCGCCGACAGCAAGATCGAAACGCATTAAAGCCGTGAGGTGAGGAAGCGATGCGCGCGATGCGAGCTATATAAGATGACGGGTGGCATCGATTGGCTCAGTCATTCCATTGCAAGCTGCGACCACGTACGTATCGATCGAAATTTTTCGCGCGTACTTCTCTCACTCGGTGGTGATCGACGATTATTTCAACCGTTTCTTCCTTTGTTTCTTCCCTCTTCTTTTCTTTTCTTTTCTCTCTTTCTTTTTTTTTTTTTTTCTTTCCCTCTCCCCTCCCTCCCCACCTCGTTCAATTAAAATGGATATCAGGATGTTGGCATTGGTCTTGCTAGTCAACGTGGTTGGATCGCTCGCGGACTTACGTTCCCCCCTCTTCAGGCCACGAAGAAGTGAGTAGCAGAGACACACAGACAGACACTCGATCGCTTGAACGAGAGAGATTGCCGATTGTTGTATTCTTTTTTTTTTCTTTTCTTCTCCTTTCCCTTTCTTTCTTTACCTATAATAAAACGTGCACAGGCTCGTCGTTTATGTCGTTTATACACCCGTGAATGTCGGCATCGCCTAACAATTTCGACAAAATGAACGAGCGATCCTGGATAGCGAGGATGGATAGGTTTAAATATAATCGTGACACCGCTTCCCATTTCTTGTTTTTCTTCCTTAACCGTTACGTTACGTTACGTTACGTCGAATATCGTATTTACAAAATTCAAAATCGTTTTCTTTCTTTTTTTTTTCTTTTTTAATTTCTAATCGAACGAGAGTGAGAGAGAAACAGAAAATTTAATAAATTTGATATCGATAAGAGTAAAGTTGAGTTTAATAGTTATTATTCGAAGCAACGTGGAGGTTAACACAGTGAGGTTAGGATTATTTTCCAAATCTTCAATTTGTCTAATAATAAAGTAAATTGTGGGCGACAATTTCGTCAAGCTACGTAATGCATAAATGTAAATCGATACAACTTTTGACGACTCTCTCTCTTTCTCTCTCTCTCTCTTATTGTGCGTCAAGGATGATAAAAGTTTCGTTCAACAATGAGTTGCGTAACGTTCGGTCCGTGTCTTCCGTAATAAACCATGGAAATTTCATTACAAAATTCGCGGAATTTTATAACGAACCAAAAGTGGCGGATATATTGGAAACATTTTTATTGACCGAATATATATACAGAAGATCTACCTAGTCTTACCTAGAAACTGGTCTGAGCAGTTATTTACGATAGTGAACGTTCCACCTTCGAAGAAAAAAAACTTCGAATTTTATGGCGCGGGAATCGAATATTTAAAATGAAAAAATAAAAAAGAAAAAAAAAATATCTTTCAATTCTCCACGTCAAATTAATCCGAATTGAACGAAGTAACGCCAAGTTCTTCTCTTCAAGA